CATTTCAAAGATTACTAACAAAAAAACCTTCTATTGGCTAAGGACATCTCCCAAGATCTTTGAACATGTTATTCAAAGATTGTTGTCATTACAAAAGCTCAATGGTTAGCCAGCAAGCAGAAAAATACTTCATACATGCATATCCGTACATCATCTAAATATCAAGACATGAAGCTTGATCCCTAGACATTTCGAGGACTTTCATTAGGTCTGTTACTTAACTAGGAGATTAAACAAGCAAGAATGTTATCTATTAATTCAAGCATTGAAAATCTAGTTTTTCCTCTCCTTCACACCTATATCATTTTCCGAAAAATATACCACATAGATTGGCTTACAAGTACTTCTTTTACTTAGATTAAAAATGCTCTGGAGTGTTTGGAAACCTTCATGGTTTCTTTTGCTTAAGCATAGGTTCTCCTTTTCTCATAATTGCTTTAATAATATTAAACTAAAAGAACGATTTTCAAACATGGTATTAACTAGTGTATATGGTGCTCCACACTACACTCTTTTAACATTTCAAAACTTATCAATGAATTAGTTTTCCATGCACTCATTCTCTCCTTACTTTCTCCATGTGAAGTTTTTTTCGAAAACTTGAAAATGGTAAGTTATAAGGGTTGATCTTGATCCTAGGGAAAACATGTGCTTCTTGTCCTTAAGCAAAAAAAAGTGTTGGTAGAGATTCCCAGTGTTATTAATACATTAAACCATTACGCTTGCATCGAACAATAACTTGGATAGATCAAATACAGTTCTTTGGGCTAATTCAAATGGAATGTTAAACTACTTTAGGTTTTTGGAGACACATATAAAGCTACACACAAGCTTTAAGAATAAGAAAGAGAGGTTTCATATCAACAAGGAAGACTAAGCATGACCACCTTAAAAAGATGGCACAACCAATCATTATCCAAAGGAGTGGGTCGAACTTAAGAATTTGAAATATGAGCCTTATCATCTATCAATAATGTCATTAGCTAAGTACCTCCTTAATTTAGGAATAGGAGGATCTAATTTCAATGATCTATAAATAAAAAACTTTGTAAAGTATATTGATCATGAAAAAGAAAAATATATTTTCCACACTTGACCAATTTCTTCCTCTCTATTTCTCCCTCGCATGTCTTATCTCGACTTCTCTTCCCTCACCTCTCTATCACTATCTCTTTATACAAATGTTTTTTTATAGAGACAATAAGGGAGAAAATTGAAAGCTAATAAAATCCAAGAAAATAATATGTGTGCAACAAAGATTGATTCCCCTCTTCCAAAGTAAAATCTATACTTTATGTTTATTTATTCTCTTCTAAATTTATCTCTGCCCTTTATGTGGGTATGGTTTATTCTTTTTATTGATTAAACCTTAGCTCAAATTTTAAGTACTTACAAACTTAAAACGTAAGCCCAAGTAATTTAAATCCATCTTAATCGAGCCATCATCTTAAGGTTCGGTAAAGCCCCATTGAACATTCAGGTTATAAAGCCTTATACCTAAATCCTAATACAAAAATCTATAAACTAAGAGGGGTGTAAAAGATTAAGAAGTGTGCTTCACCCATCAAGAAACAATTTTTTAGTTGCTAAATTCCATAGACAACTTTGGAAGTGAACAAAAGGTTGACTAATAAGTCAAACAATTACAAACTTTTGTGTTCATTGGTTGATTGATTTTTCTTCTCTTTGTCTCACTAGTTTTAAGGTCAACATTATTTCCCTCTCTTATGGAGGGTTATGACCTTATTGTAAGGCTGCTTTAAGTCATCAAAATTATTTTTACAATTTCATTTATGCTTTCTAGGGAGTGTATAAAGGATAACAAGCCATACAAACGATAATATTGCTAAAATTTAAACAAAAAAACTTGCATAAAAATACATAGAAACCCACCCTGCATACACTCATTAGGAACGAATGAAGAAGAATTCATGGTCAACCCAAAATAGCTTGGATAAAACTAATGATGATAATGATGATGATTAGATTTCCACATTTAAACCTCAAAATATCAATCAAGACAAAGAATCTTAGAATTTCTCGGTGCATAATGCCATAAAAAATATTGACAAATTGAGCTAAAATTTAGCGAAGTTTTTTTGATTTGCTAATGAATGTTATGTTGCCTCCTTGACATTTTTAAAATATTTTTTTAGCTATACAACATGGGCCATTGAAATGGAGTCAATACTAAGAGTAACATTGCACAAAACACACACACACACACACACACACATAACATCACAACGCATACACACACATAACATCATAGCACACACACCACACTCATATGATAAATTTCTCTATCCATAATAATTTAATATTTGAAGTTAATCTTAGACCCACCTGATGAAAATATGAATAAATTTCTATATTTCATATGACAATACATGCAAACACACATGCACACATATGCATACATCCAAAGATCATAAAAAATTCAACATTTAATAATGCTGTTTGTCCTACTCAACAAAGCTTTTCAAATAAATAGTCAGTCCTTTAAGCAAGGTAAAAGATATTTCACCCTAATCTTCTTATATTTTCATGCTTTGCAAATCAAACTAGAAAAGCTAGGTAAATCCAACAATAGGATAGCCTCACCCTGATCACTTTATCGTTTCAAGTGAAAGGGATTCAAGAAAGCCCCGCCGATCAACATAGAGTAAAGCATTCTTTATGCAAACTAGTTCAAGTATTTGCAATTAAATGAGATTGCATATCCAAATACACAAGATGACTTCAAAATCAAATCAAGCCATACCCATACCTTATGATGATGAATCCATCGCCTTTGTTCCTACCAAGCCACTAAGACTCAACCCTCGGGATAAAAGAATAATATAATGGCAAATGTAAAGCTAGGAAGAGTCCTCCATGACAATCACACACAATCAAATCAAAGTAGCACAATTTGATAATGATTATATTTGAAGCATGTTCTCTCACACATCTCAAGGATATTCTTCATCATCATCATCATCAGCCTTATCCAAGGATATAGGGAGAGCATCTTAAAATGAGGTTGCTAGCAGACACTTCGATGATTACATAGCATGATAGGTTGGGTTGATATCAAGTTGACCTCGAGCAAGTTAGCCTTACAAATTTAAAATCTTCCAATAGTTCAAAATTTTGAGCCAGCAACAAAATCCTAGATTTTAAGTCAGCATAAAATCATATTGAGCTAGCTCAAAAATGCATGCCACTAAATAAAAAAGATGCTTAATGATTCATTCGGAATAAAATTAAACAAAATATGGAATTAGAAAGAAATAGTAAGTTTCCATTTTCTAAATTACTTTTAACATATTAGCAAGATAAACAATCATAATTATAATTGAAAATAAAATAGTGAATCAATATAAGCTTTAATTTGATGGAACAAAAGGTGAAGGTATTATGATTCTCTGGATTTTCCACATGGTGGGGGAGAGAGAAAGAGAGATAGTCATCCCACAACTACAAGAAAGTTTACAGAATAGACATAGAAATATCTATACATATGAAATAAGTAACAAGGATATTATAAAAGTTTGAAATAAGAAAGAAAGGGGCAGTGGAGTAAAGGATAAAGCAGGAATTTCCAAGAAAACAACCAAATGTTGAGGCCAAGACGAATAAATACATGGTTTTTAAACTTTTGGTTAGAGAAATTTTTGACGATGTCATTGGCATATCTAGCTCCATTGTAGAGTCGAACGTCTAATGAGGTTAAGAAGAAAGATGCAAAGATGGATCTTATTGTTGGACAGTGGGCGTGTGGATGCTAGCAATAGAGATGAAGATGAGAAAAGAGAGAGTGGAGCAATTTAGTACATAGAGTAGGAGCTGTGGATGGAGAACTTATACATTACTAGCATGATCCCAACTTTACGAATATTATATCCTAATTTAAGTTATTATGTATCAGTCCATTTAAAGTAACAGCTAGGAAAACTTTTTTGGCCACTCGCCACAAGCATGGTGGATGAAAAAACCATTTGACTAACTACGCTATCTTTTATAAAACTTCTTGGGTCATTTACATACATACCACCCAATTTCTATGCATTTACATATCTAAAAGCTAAAATTTGCTTTTTATATTTATACCACCCACAATCTTTCATATTAAATTAAAAATACCACCATTTTAACTTTTAAAAGGTAAAATACAACTTTTCATGCATAGGTCAGGCGGTATGCCAGTAAAAATTAAAGTTCAAGTGTTAAATATGTAAATACATAGGAATTGAGTGGTACGTGTATATCTTCCAAGGTTTTCATATCTTATGTTTAAAAGCTTAAATCAACTTGAAGGATATTTTGAGTGAGCCAAGTTGAACCAAATTTGAGGTGATCTAAATTGAATCAAAATTAAAGTAAGTCAATTTGAAGATAGATTAGACAGACTCCATCTAACTATAAATTGGCCACAACTTTATCGATCCTATACCATTATTTCAAACAATTGGGCTAAAATTTTGCAAACAAATTTCACGTGAATCATCCAAAAAAGCAAAATCCCTCCCTCCCTCACTCAAGGCATGAAGCGCTCAGGAGGCACATTGCCATATCAGAATGCTGAACCAGCAAGGTGCTTGTACTCAATAAGCATTATCTATCTTGTCCGGTCCAAACGAAGCAATTCTTACCATACATGCAGGAAACTGATCTGCAGTACAGCAAAATGTCTTCGTTGATTTACAAATCAAAAGTATCTAGATCGAATGATCTGCACCACAGAAAATTCAATTTTTAAAGCACCTTCCATCCATCTATAATCAAGAAAACTGAGAATCGCGAAAGAGCATAAAGCAAATTTATCTATAAAACTCGTCATAATGCGATTAAAGTGAGTATCCTATGGCAAAAATTGGCTCCAACCCTATTAGAGAGGAATGCCAGTCATAGAGCCTGTATTTGAGAGAAATCTCTTTGTCGAAAAACAACAAATACCCACCAGCCTAGTGTTGGGAACCGTGAAGGAAACGCTGGAAGTGTAAAGGAGAACTAACTCTGGTGAGAGGAGTGAGCAGAGCGATCCACAGCTTGAAGCTCGCGTGCGGGGAGACAGGGTAGTAGAGCGGCCTCCAGGGCGGCGACGCACATCATCATTTCTTCCCGCTGCTTATGTTGTCGGGTCTGCGGCGTGGTGGTCGTAAGTGGCAGCGACGGCAACTCCTGCGGCGCCTCTGTCATTCCACCGCTTCAATGATGCGTGAAATTTCGACGGGAATATTTGATACATGGAAGATTTACATATATACCCCTCAACTCCTGTAAATTTACATTTATGCTGTGATTTTTTTTTTTTGAAAAAATGCTACTTCTAATATTTCGTTTTTTTTTATTTTTCAAATAAAAATGCCTTCCTTTTTTTTTAAGATAAGAGTAACATCCAACTTTATTTAAAAGTGAAAAGGAGTACAGTGAAAAATCACATACAACATTTAAATAGAGAAAATACAACAGAATAAAAATAAGAAATTAACTAAGAAATAACTAACAGAAAAAACATCCTAATAATAGGTAAAATTCCTCAAAATTTTTCATCCACAAATGAAACCAAACAATTGTAGAATAGAATACAGATTATCATCAACATAATTGGATAAGTCATATTAAATATTAGTCAGACAACCATCAAAGAAGTATCATTACATTCAATCCAAAAAAGCAATCAAAATTGTCCAAAATATAAACAACAATAAGCTTTAATCTAGATTTCAAACAAAAGTGATAAGGCCTCCATTCCAACATAGGAAAATTTGAAGGTGTGAACCTATAAAAAATAAACTAAATAAAAATATAAAAAGTTGATGAATGTAATAGATGATGAGCTCAGAAAAATTGAACTTCCATCCAAGAATAGTGCATACATAAAGAAAACCCAAATATATACAAACGAGTGGTTGATCATTAATGTAAGGTAGGATATCATAATTGCTCAATACCAAATCTTGAAAATAACTAGATGAAATGATCTAACAACCAAGGGTAATATCTAAAAAAAAGAGCTTCCAACTACGTGAAATATTTGCAAAATAAGCTGACAATCATGTATAGTACATGAAGACAGTGTTAGCTAAATAGAGATAATCATACTTCATCCATAAATATTATATATATTAAGATAGCAAATTAGAATATATACGTAAATGGTTGAGTCTCAAGAGGGCTTCCAACCAAGTAAAGAAAAATTTCAAATAAGCCAACAACTAAGAGTAGTATCTGAAGACAATCCTAGTTAATGAGAGATAATAAGACTCCATCCAAAAAATATTGTATATATTATGATATTAAATCATAATATATACATAAATGATTGATTCTCAAAGCAAGAAAGATTAATATCAAGGACAAAGTTAAGTACAATTGAAAAAGAACCAACCTAAGAAAATATACACAATAAAACAAAAAAAGAAGAAAAAAATTATAACTTGTAAAAAATTTTAATGAAAGAGGAAATGTCATTCTTAAAGTTCTACCTTTTAGTTCTTTCAATGGATATTTTGAATTAGCACGTCTATAGAACTCTAATGGTTCTTGAAGATTCTTCAATGTTTCATACCAATTATAATATGTAGTTTCATGAACATAAAAAAAAATCTTTTAACAATTTTACAAGCTATGTTATAAGAATAAAAATAACTTGCTTAATATTACTAGATGTCATAATGAAAATCTCATTCGGAATGCAATATTTTAAAAGAGCATGAGAATAAGGGCATTCAAAAAATAAATTATTATGAGATTCCAGTTCATTTAAATAGAGCTTGCAATAAAAATACACAAAAATACATCTATGAGGTAAAATCTCAAAAGTTTTCAGCTCTTTGTGCAAAATCTCTAAGTGTAAAAGACAAATTTAATAGTCTAATCTTTATAAGGAAGTTTCTATGAAGAAAAAATAAATATTTTTATGAGAAAAATGATTTAAAACCTTTCAGAAACAAGTAAAACCATTATTGATGGGAATAACACGAATATAGTTAATGCAATGAGAGGAAGCAATAGAATTAAAAGAAATAATTCAATTATCATTGGAGACAACATCATAAAGTTTAGTATTCCAAAGATAAATGAACCATGTAAAAATTAAGTTCTCAAGATTTTCATATAAAGAATTGTAAAAAAAAATCCAGGAATAATAATGAAAAAAATAAAAGAATGTACGTAGTCACTTGAAAATTAAGAAAAGATCTTGTTTTCTTTAGTTAAATCTTTTCAGAAAGTATAAAAAAGAAGAATATTAATTAAACCAAATAGAGTGATCATGATCAGAACACCACTTAACAAGAAATAAATCAAAATTATAAAGTCTTCAAATAATTTTACCCTTCCAAATATCATTAATGGTATCTGAGAAAGGAAGATCGAGCCCCCCATTATACTCAGGTAAATTGATAGTATTCTAAGCACTAATATTCATTTTTCCTTTATTACCATTATGATGCAGAAAATTATTAAATAAAGATAATTTTTTTTCCTAACACCTTTATGTAAATTTGTAGAATAAAACTAATGATAAAGATAGCTCTAAATAGTGTATTTAATAAGTTTAAGTTTAACAAAAACAAATAAAAACTTATTTTTCCAACAAAATAATTATATATAAAGTCTATTAAGAAGTTTATTGTAGTCAATGACATTGATATCAAAAGGCTTAAAAGTTACACCTAAATAATTTCAAGGCAAATGTTTAAAGTAAAAAAAAAACCATTATTATAATAAATAATTTTCTGAACATCAGCATTCACGAATTTAAAAAAACATATGACAAACTTAGAGACAATAATAGGAAGATTAGATGCCTTGCTGAACATATTAAGAATCAGAGAAAAACAATTGATAAAAGAAGTTTCAACTTTACCAAAAATGAGAAGATTATAATATAAATGTAAAAACGAAACCTTTACATTTTCTTGAACAACATTAAAACCTTTAATGATATGTTTGTTAGCCTCAAAAAGTGAAGATAAAGCATCCATAATAATGACAAAAAGAAAGGCAGAGAGAGGGAACCCTTGCCTTAAACCCAAGGCGAAAGGAAAGTAGCATTTTGACTCACTATTAATGATATAAAAAAAATAAATTGTAGTTGTGCAAGCTTTTACAATTAATTGAAAAAGGTGAACAACTCATATGCTTCATATGATCATAAAGAAACAATCTATTAACTTTTTCTAAATCCTTCATCAAAAAAATTTTAGAAAATTTCTCAGAGGTATTATTAAAATTGAAACCAAATAAAAGCTTATTCACCAAAATACTGTTATATGCAACATCACTATCTTTAACGAAAGCAGCTTGAGATTGATGAACCTTGCTATAAAGAATTATTTTAAGCTTATTAGTAAGAAGAATAAAAATAATCTTATAATATTATTACACAAAGAAATGGGTCTAAAATCATTAAAATTATTGGCATCATACTTTTTAGAAATAACACTAATAGCTGAGAGCTTAAATATATTAGGCAATTTAGCATTAGAAAAAAAATATTTCACAGCATCATTGTAATCCTTTTCAATGATATGTCAACTATCTCTAAAAAAAATTAAGATAAAGCCATTAGGTTCGAGGGCCTTTTTAGAGCCGATAGAATAAAAATATTCATAATATCACCATAAGAAAATTTAAGATCAGTTTTGCACTCTCATTAGTAATGATATGATTGTTAATATGAAACATATGGAAAAAATCCTAAAAATCAAAAAGCTAAAAAATTTTGTAAATAAAAATAAAAAGTAATAGCCTCATTAAAATTATCATTTTGATGATGCATAAACTGATTATTAATTTAAATTTCTTTAATAAAATTAGAACTATCTTCAATTTTAATTTTTAGATAACGAATTTAGTATCATCTTTCTTTTAAGAGAGCCCAAAACTTCTTGATTGTTGCTCAGCTCATTAATAATCACAAAAAAACAACATTCATAAGGTTAATATGATTCAAAAAAGCTAAAGTAAGAAGATCGATCTTTATTAGTGTGATTATTCTAAATTTAACGTATAATAACATGTTTCTTATATTTTTAAATCTATGATAGAACTAGATAATAAGGAAAAAAAATGTCGCTGCCAATTTTTAAGAGTCAATGTAACATTCCTAAGATTGTAAGATAGAGCAAAAAGAGGATCTCATTTAACAAGAAGACTCCAAACCATGTTAAAAAAAGAAATATAGGTGGAAAATTTACTCCAATAGTTTTTATACATGAAATAATAATGCAACTTAATATAATTATCCAAACAAATAGAAATAAAAAACAAATTTGAAGAAAGATGATCCATAACTTTATAGAAAGAATGAAGAAAATAGTCTAACCAAATAAAATTATATAAATTTATATCACTTAAACATATGATATGATTGTTAAGTTGTTTATTATACCATCTATAATAATAACAATTATTCTGAAATTTAAGTCAGCCACATGAATGCAATTATTTAAATTAATAAGTATACTAGGAGCAGGAAGGACACATGTTTTCCCCTCAATTCTTTGAATATAATTAAAATTTCCAAGAATAATGCATGAGCATTGAATAATCTCAACCAAATAGATAATAAAATTCCATTAACATTTTCTAGCCTTAGCATTGTTATCAGTGTATATAACAGTGATAAATAAATCAATATAAGAAGAGAAAGTATAACCATGAATGAATTAAGGATTAATAGTTAAAAAAAAAAATCTTGGACAACAAGATTCCATTTTAACCAAATTCTCTGAATATCAACAACATTAAAGTTGTTACTATTTATTTCATTTAGAAGGAATCCTAAATTATTTAAATTAATGAGATCAGAAATAGAAGAATTGAAAAGTTTAGTTTCAAGAAGACAAAAAAAGATTCAATTTCATTTTTTTTAAATAAATTCATACAATCAGCAATATGAGCTTCACAATTAGGCCTCATAACATTATAAGTCATAATATTAAGAAAAAAATATTTAAAACTATTTATTGGTTATTCTCGCATTCAACCATTCTTTCTTAATTTTCGAAGTAGAAGACAGAGATAAGAATGAATAACATTCTCAACATTAAAGATGTTTTGAATAAACAATTCATTTGAAATTATATTATGTGAAGCAGCTATCTCATGAGAGATAAGAGAAGAAATAATCAATACATGATTCTCTGCATCTGCATTTATAACATGTAAAGTATTTTAGAATCATAATTTTCTCTATAATATTTAAAGTTACAGAAGAAACCTCAGCAACAACATTTAATTCAGGAGCAGTTATATGATTAGAAAGCTTAATATTATGATCAGAAATAAAAATCAAATTATTCAAAAGAATCATATTCATAGGTATAGAAGGTGGTCTACCGATACTTCAGTTAGTTCTTTGTACATGATTAAATCTATGCCTACTTCTTTCTTTAAAAATAGGAACAACAACAGGAGGCCATTACTTCAAATGTTCAAGCATGGGGAAGAATCATGGGCAATGGTAGAAAAGATTTATGGGGAACATGTTTTCATTCGTAAAAATAAAATAAAATAATAACTTGTTCTTTAACATGTTTAGTAATGAAATCAAGAAGCTAGGAATCAATAAATATTTGAACATTCACCATAACGAAAGCTAATCTTGAGCCCTTATCAATATTTGCATCAACAACAATCAGAATATTAATTTTACTGAGGATTTTTTAGAATCCTTTCTCCGACCAACAACATAAAAGTAGATTTGGAAATTTAACTTAGATAAAACCTCTTTAAAGTCTTCTTTCACGTGATTAAAGTCATGAGTCCATTTTTTGAAAATAAATGGCTTGCCATAATATACTAAGATTCTCCCAATATGACCATGTTAAGATCTTCCATTCAAAATAAATTAAAGAGAAAAATGCTTCCATGAGAAAGATAAGATCAACATTATCTTTCGAATGGCTTGAAAGAAGTTCTCGTAAATTGGTCTCTTACCTAGAGCATAACCCATCAAGGGTAGATTCCATTGTAAGGAACCTTCCTCCACTTCATGATCTGAATAACAGACATTCTCGTATGAAGAAAAAATAAAAGAAAGACTAAATCAGAAGAAATATTAAGATTTGAAGAAATCAACCATTTCTAGTTGAGGGAAGAGCGATACCCAAGAGGAGAATGAGTAGAATAAGAAGGGAGAGAGGGGAAAGAAGTAGAAACAAGGAGAAAAGAAGAAATATCCGTACGAGAAAAAAAAGGGGCTAAAGCTATAAATAACATCAAAAGAGGATTTGGAGAGAAGATCTCTAGAGTTTTTACACTAGAAATGAAAAAAAAAGAAACCCTTAGAAATTTAGGACAAACCCTAGAATTATCAAGGCCTCTCTCTCTAAGCTAGAACCTCTCTACCACTACTCTGAATTAGTTGTAAATTGCCTTAAAATTTTTTTCTAATAAAACTATCTCTTTATGTACACGTGGATTGTGTATTAAGTTTGTCAAGATGAAATTAGTTTGAATCGATCAATGTGGTTCATCTTTAGTGCATACTTGGTTTGAATATGGTTCGAATCTTATTTAAATATTCTCCTTCACATGTCGTTAGTTTGCAATTGAGACTATATGTTTATTATGACTCAAACTTTATTTTATGTCATTTGAATATTATCTGAGCTGAGTGTAATATGCAAATATTATAGAGTTTAGATCTGTTCGAAGTGTGGTATTAATAACATTTCATCACAATGACAAATATGCAATATTAAATAGAACTAATCAATAACATTCACTACAAAAACTTTTGTGATTTTTGATGGTAAATTACTTTAGTGATTTGGAATTTGTCATTTTTTTTACACTTTGCGATAGATTTTTGACAAACATCACACCACCATTTCTTTATTGGTTTGAAAAATATTTTCAACATGCTAGGATCATCACTAAATTACTTACGACTACCTTCTGATGAGTATTGTATTCTATTGTACTTCTGATAATATGATACACCTAAAATTTATAGTGTTTTTATACACATTTTTATACTTATTTTTAAGATATTGCACTTTAATGAAAGATATTTGTGTGTTTTCTTGCAGGTACAATCAAATGGATGAATAAATGCTAAAAAGGGTAAAAATGGTCAAATTTGAAGCAAAAATGAAGAAATGTGCAAAAATGAACTAGGGCGCCTAAGCGCCAGGTACCCCTCGCTTAAGCGCTAGAAGTAGTTATTTGATGAATTATTTAATTTGAGCAGATTTTTGAAGAGGTGTTTGAAGCAACCATTGATAAAAATGTGAAAAATAGCCCATGGACATAAAAGTCATTCAATTGGCTTATGAGGAGGAAACTTCTAGAAGATTCATTAAATGGAGACACATTTTTGAAGAGACACTAAGACACCCCTTAGATTTTTATAAGAAAAAGACTTAGATTTTCCAAGAGAGGAGGTCAGCCATCCATCAAACTTTATAGCCCTTCACAGTCGCTGCCACCGCCGTCAGCCACCTTTACTTTATTTTATTTTATTTTGAGTGTTAGTCTGTATTGTGAGAGAAGGAAGAGAATTCAAAGGAACTTCAAAAATTTGGTGGAGAAAATTAGATATAAATATTTATCTTTGTTTCTACACTTAGTTTTAATTTAGATTTCTTGTTTGTGTGCATGATTTCTACTTTTAAACTCATGTGTGGATGTGTTTTCTCCATGAAATCTGAGTAGTTTTCTTTTATCTTTTTCCTTAAAATGATAACTGATTAAATATTGAAAGAAAGTTGTGTGAAGTAGACTTCAATGTTGAAAGAAGTTGAGATGATTTGAAACCTTGCATTTCATTTACTTCTTGATTTAACCAATTAAGATGTTAATATTTGTTGTGAGAACATGTAAGACCTTAGATGGTATTGTCTCAATCAAAAAAATATTGGAATCACATATTGAATTCATGAATGAGAATGTAGTTCATGGGGTTGAGTGCAAATAAATAGGAAAATATATTTTAAAGGGTTTAGAATTAGAGAGCTTTAGAGTGATAGGCTAAAGCCCCCAATTTGATTTATAGTTTTAGGTTTTGATACGAGATGTTAGCCCTCAGATGGAGGGAGAAGAGAACTCTAGAGTGAGAGCTAGTATCTTCCCTGTCTAATCGGTCTTCAAGACTATTCAAACTGTTGATTAGTCAATGTTCTTTATAGCATCACTAGTAAGGGTAAAGAATATTATTGCTCCAATTTGACACAACACATTTAGCATATTTCCACAATAGAATTTCTATATTTATCACTGATTCATGATAAGAAAAAAGATATTTTATTTATATTGCCTTCAGCTTGTAGGTATTTTAGTTAAGTTAATTAGTTGCTTACTTTATTTTCAATTATAAAAAATTACAAAAAGAATCTAACTTTTATTCCTATTTTAGCATCTTAAGTTTAAGTAAGAATATATTGCTAAGTAAAATTTTGCTATCTAAAATTAGTCCTCCTTGTGAGATCGATATTCGAGACTTAATCAGAAAGTTTTATATCACTTGATAACTATATGTATACTTGTGCAGTATCCCATATTGAAATATTATAACTGCATTCTTATTTGCTTCATAGTGAAAGATTTACCTAACTCTCTTTTACTTTGGATCAAGTTTTTGGCTTTGTTGCAAATTAAGAATATCTATTAATAAAATTAATTGCATACATCGCATTTTACATCTATCTATATACAAAATCAGGATCACAGTACTAGACTCATTGGTATAATTTCTTATGGATTAGGGTCATTGGCTTATAGCTATCAAAGGTTTAATAACAAGTCCTTCAGTTTGTTGCCTGCAAATTGTGCCTGAAAAAATCTCATTAATTCATTACAATTAATACATATGTAATTACATCATAAAAATATCTGAAATATACATCACACAATTTAGTTTACTTATACACATAACTACTAAATTAGAATCATATAAAGACAATCACAAATTAAAAATAAATATAATCATAATGCAATAAATAATAGTAAATAAAATAAACAACACATAACTAGTACACAAATATCTCATAATAGTAAATAAAATAACCACATAACAACTTGTCATTGGTTTCTTCATCCTCACATCACACCCAGTCCAATTCCATCTTCATTCTCACCTCCATCTCAATAATTCGAGTGAAAAATCAAGCCTCTATATTCTTAGTTGTTGTCAGGACTTATCCCGACCAACCTGCAAACTTCAACATCCTAGAAAGGTGCACAGCTTTGACCGAAGAAGGTGCAAAATGTGCCATATGCAAGTTTTTGTGCACCCAACATAATTTTCTTTATTTATTATTTGCTCCAATGTCTTATCTTCAGAGGTCAAAGTTTGATTAATCAAAATTGCTACTATATATATGAATTCCTCCGGAGCGCTGACTTTGAGCTTCCTTCTACCGCCAGAAATCATCCTATTAAAAAATTATAATGAATAGTAAGGGGAAAATTTTAAATTCAAAATAATTACAATGATATAAAAATTAATGTCACTTGTATGTGCTCTCTATGATCTAGTGTCAACCCACTAATGGTATGACTAATGTTGATGTGTACGAGCATGTTGCTCAGCAGTGATGTGCTCTCGCCTAAGCTGATATGTCTGTTAAGATAAATTTTTTTTTAAATAATAATTATTCACTAAAATATAATACACAAACTAACTCTTACATAATTTGTAGTTCATTAAAGCACATATGTTATTACATAATTATACATCTTGATCAAGTATTATATAGATTATGAGTTTGTGTTATCTATCACATGAGGAACAAGTTATCTTTTAAAGAATTTTAATTACTAGTTTACTAATCCTAAATTTTTGTTCAAAATAGTACAAGTTTTTGAGGTTTTAAATGTCTAAAATCCTAATTTCAAAATAAAATATTAAGAAGTGAGAAATGTTTTCTAAATGGTTTGAAAATTTCATTTGAATTGGTTCAGTAAATTCTAAGTTCCTCCAATGATTTTTCTATTTTAGTTATTAAATAGAGTCTATTACTTCTTAGTCTCTTCTGTGATATAACAAGTATTGAAATCTCATAATATAGCTAAATTCATCTAACCTACAAGAATTCCCAGGCCTCCATATTCTTTAAAAAGCATATAAGAGTCTACTCACAATATTTCAGTTCTACTAAACTCTTGTCTTTTAACATAACTATGCTTCTACTCTTCTTTCAATAGTCTTAGATTACAACATATTTTAACAATTCAAAAGATTTGTTTGAATAAAAAATAAGATAGAAGGTCAAAATAATAACTTCTTCATTCATAAGTTAAAAAATCTAACATGGCATCCCTTATATTTTAAGAAAAATTAATTCAAAAGAGCAAAGAGATTAAGTGCTAACCATGAGATTAAGTGCTAACCATGATTTGAAATAAAAGCACATTGCATTAATAAATTCAAATAAAAACTATAAACTAAAACAAATTGAAAAACTATATGGATGAAATCAGAATTCTAAGATTTGATCTCCATCTGAAATATCCTCCTTTGTTTTATACGATCACACCCTCACTCTCTTGCACATAAAACAAGTATTTCTCACACAAAATCACACTAAAAATCTCCATAAGTCACTTCTCTCTCTCAAGTGAGGTGTTAGTTTCTTCCTAAAATATTTTCATTCTTCTCTAAAAAAAATCTAGTCCTTTTATGTTTTACTACATCAAAACTGTAAGAAAAGCCTAAAAAAATGTTCTATGTTTATGGGGGGTGCGACGATTGTTGGTATCAATTTCTTATGTCAGCTGTGTAGGGAGCCCACTTGAATGGTATGGGACTACGTGTTATTCATTCATAGATTTTCATAGCTCAAAACAACTATTAAGACTTCCTGGTATGTGTTTTTGGCATGGAATTTGGATTGGAGTTGATATATCCTTACTTGGGAGAGTTCACCATTTTAGCATCAATTTTGATATGGGACATGTCTATTGCCCATTGGAATGCTTAAGCGTCATGCTCCATTGACACGCCTTAGCTACTTTTTTAATATATATTCTATGCTCATTTTTAATGATATTACACTTTAAAGAAAGATATTTTGCGTGTTTTTAGTTTCATGTACAAGAGATGGTGTTTTAGAGAAAAATAAAGCAAAAATAGTGCGATTTGGAGTCAAATGGAGCAAGGAAGAAAATTCTGAGGAAGAAAATTCTGACATGACGCAACATGACGCATTTTGATATGTCTTTATAT